AGAGATAAGAACTGTCAGGTAAAAGCAAGAACTGTGGTCAAGCATTGAACCACTCGCCTTACCAAATCATAAACATAAAGGACGACAACAAAATAATTTGTAAATTTAGGGTGATGGTCATACCTTAAAATTAGACGTATGATGTATAGGATGTTGAAGGATGCACTCAATTCAAGCTTAACTTAAAATACCATTGTTTTAAGATATCTAATTGCAGATTGCAGAAATGAGAAAACCTGAAGTGACTTGGATTTTCTTATCTTAGCACTACTTTACAGTACTGTCCTTGTCAATTAAGAGATTTAATAATAATAATAATAATAATAACAACAACAACCATTGGTCAACGTCTCAAATTGTGTATAACGAACTTCAAAGACCATTTCCAAAGAAACTGGAGAAAAAAGCTAGCAGACAAGCTAAAGGTTATCTTACCGATTCCAGTGCATAAACAGGAACCATTAAGATTAATCCAATCAAGAACTTCTGCTCCTGTGATAAAAATAATTTGGTCAGATCAGTTTTCCGAGACAATGAAACTAGGCAATGCTACAAAGACCAAGTATCTGTACAAAATAACAACACAAGCATGTACGCGATCAAGCACCACAAACTTATTACTGAAATGAACAGATCAGCACACCATAGGATCAATGATGTTCGCGAGTAAAAAAACTCCGAGAAGATTGAACAGGTATAAGCAAAAACCTCAGGCTGATGGTATGCAGCTAGATGCTCGACGATTAGATACATAGACAGGACTATAGCCACCAGTACGGAAAAACCAGCACTGTACAAAGCCCAGCTATAAAGTGGAGATGATCCTGAAACTAGGTTCAGCGACCACATTTTTTCAGAATTTCTTGACGATTCGACCAAAGTGATGGAAAATAGTAATGGAACCAAAATTCCCCTCCATCCCATTCCACTTTTTAACACACTGCTTCTCAGGATCTCCAGGAAATATGGCCTACAATCAGGATGATTCGAAACTCAACCAGATGCTTCCATGTCACCTCAGAGAGAATTAATCACTTTAGCTTCTTTTCTGGAAGAACTTTCCAATACTTTAATAAAGCAGGTTGCCTGAGTCTCTCAATAAGTTATCTCCACCAGAACCATGAATTAGAAAGCTGGCATCAGAAGGATCCTGCATAATACTTCATACCCATAAAAACACTGATGCCGAATGGGGACGATCAAATTCTCAATGTCCTGCCTTCAGGAACCCTGCCACAAACATTTGGAATGTAAGAAGAAAACTCTTATGCCTGACTACTACGATATTCATTATAAAATGATACGGGGGAAAGAAAAGAAAAGAAATAGAAAAAAGAAGAACATCCTCCATTGTATGTGAATATTTTAAGCATGACGTGTACTCTAGAGAGAGAGGGGAAATTGTTCCTCCTTTTTTCAATTTTTCGTCTTGCTAGATATTGTAACAGACTTTTAGATTCCTAAAAATCCTCTTACCTCGTAGAGACATGATAAATAGAAAGTAATAACCCATGATCCACTGTTTAAATTCAGTATTTAAGCAGATAATGGAGATGCATACCGAGTTTTCCTACTGTAACAAATTACCAGTATTAACCACATATTGGCACATCAATAAAAAAGTAAAAAGCAAATATTTTGAGCATGGCATGTTCTAAAAATGACACTACTTGTGCTCTTTCTTTATTTCTGCTTTGGAAGGATCATTACCAGACTCTTGGATTTCAGAAAATCCTTTTATCTCATAAAGACATAACAAAGAAAATGGACTAACCCTAGATCCCTTGTTTGAGGTTAGTATTTAAGCAGATACTAGAGATGTCTGCAGAGATCATTTTCCTAAATGTACCAACTGGCATTGTTAAACCAGAGGCAGATCTAGGATTTCTAGTACATGGGTGCTGTGTTGATCCCTATTCCTCTTGGTAAATAATTCAACCTTCAACCAAGTGTGCCATTCGGCATTCTTGGAGGATGTGTGCCAAGAGTTAATATTATACCAATTTTAAAAAATATGTACATAAAATATCTAATTTTGCGGAAAGACAATGGGTTCACGTGCCCCACAATGTCCCCTATAAATTCGCCCGTTGTGTTAAACCTGATATTCACACAGCAATAAGCAAAGTGAAACGAGCACTTAAGAACTATCAATACTCCAATGGTTCACCTATCTTGACAAAAAATAGATTATCTGTCCACGCATAGACATCTCTCCTAAGTTCCCCGAAGAGCAAAAGAGAAAGAAATGAAAGATGTCTATGGTATAAACTCAAGGTAAACTAGATGTCACTATGCTTCGGAGAGCAGCATGTCAATTTTCTCTCTTTAATTTTGAGCTCCTTAAGTTGCATTGACATAGTTGTTCTTCTTTCCTTTCCTGTAGAGGTTTTCCTTGATAGTACAATGATACTACTTGATCAAACTTCCTGTCATCTAAATTATGAAAATTAAATTTGAGTCATCCATGATCTGTAAAATTCAAATCCAGCTAGATGTATACTACAGCACTTCCCATATTATAGACTTCATAAAAGTATAATGCCCAGTATCAAGCAGAAACTAGAGTACCTAAATGCTTTCCGACACAGAATCCGACCCATTATGAATGGTCAGAAAATGAAATTGATAAAACCCTCTTGTGCTCTGAAACAGGTCTGGCACTGAAAATTTACAGGGAAAACAAAATTTTCATATTTTGCTTTATTGTAGCCAAGCAAGTTATTCCACCCAGCCAACAAAGTTTTAGCATGGATTGGAGAACATATCGAGTCATAACAGACAAATAGCTATGTGTTTAGTTCCCTTTAAAGCAGTTCAAGGGCTCAGTATACACTTAACTATGTGTCAACATAGTCCAAAATATCCCAAATCACCAAAAGAGCCATATAACCCCCACCCCCTAAAAACAAAGGAACAAATTTGTTTTCTGCAAAGCAGCAATGGATTAAAAAGCAAACGTTTGCAGATATAAACTCTTAAACCTACCACCTCTTTTGATTTGTCTCAAATAATTTTTTTTTTTTAAAAGTACCACCTCAACGCAACAATGTATATATTTTCTACTAAGGACTAAGGAGCAACATATTAATTCACAAATCAGCATACATGTTAATTCCACCTCTTTTGATTTATATAACATAAACTAAAATTTACAGGGAAAAAGAAACCACCTCAAAACACCAATTAATTTTCTAACAAGCAGCATAGATTAAAAACAGAATATCATACAAATAAATTACTAAATCCATCACCTGCTTTGAGCTTTCTCGCAATAATTATCCAAAAGATAACCGAATAAAAGCAAATAAGTTAATTTTTTTTTTTAAAAGTTCGTCTACAAACTGTAAAGAGAAATAATTTATGCACAATACAAAAAAAGAGAAAAAAAAAGGAGAGGGGAAAGTTACCGAACCCTAAAAAGTGAACAAAGACTGGTGTAAAAGGGAGGCTAGAACTTGATGCTTTAACCGATCATATGGTGCTTGAAAGTTTCCAGAACAATGCTGTAAAAGGAACAAATTTATGTAACAACTTTTCCTACGATATTCAGGATTGAATGGCAGGTGTTTGTGAAAAAGGAGGTTACGTATTGCAAATTGTAAATAGATTTTGGTCATGTGTTAGGAATGCTTCATTTTTAGCTTTTGCTTCGGCAGTTGGAGAAAAACGAAATTCGAGAATAGACTATGAAACCGATGAGATTAAAGTGACAATTCATCTGCAAATCATGGTATCACGGCAAGTACCTGACCGTTGATTTACGGGTCCGCTTGTTTTTTAATTTATCCGACGGTTGATGTTGATCAAGGTTTGTAGTTTTAGCTTCACAGCGGAAATACTTTCGTTTTTATGGGGAAAGTGATTGTAGCATTCCACGTAAGCATGACTACGTGGCAATTAGGTAGTTTTAAGGTTACACGTCATGCTTAGACTGTGGGATTGAAAGAACTATCACTTGACTAGTTGTTTGATTGCTTAATTATGAAGGAGGAATACGACACTTTAAATTTGGAACAACCAATTGAATAAACAAACAGTACAGATACTTTAGGCTTTAATTTTCTTTTAATACGATAGGATTATGGGGCTGACTCCATAGATGATAGATAGGAGAGTAGGAGAGGAGCTATGCGAATCAAACAATCTTATACTTTTCGTAGATGTAATGTATATACTATATAGGTGTGTTTCACTCACATTTTTTTATCTATACGTGCATAACATTCTTAAATATTACTTTAATAAATATATATTATGTATATTTTTTTTAAAATTATATTGGGATTAAAGAAGAAATTTAGTCAATAATTTTATTTTATTTTATTTACTAGCATCAATAATGCCTTCCAAAAAGGAATTTAGTAAAAGCTAGAGAAGCATCATAAAGCACAAAATTTTATTTTGGAGACCAGATTTTTTTTTGAGAGAGATAGAAGAAGAGATAGAGAGGGGGTGGGAAATGAAGAGGACGATACAAGGAGAGAGAGAGAGAGAGAGAGAATAGATGGGAGAACAGGGTTTAGGGGATGGGGCTCTAAATTGGCCTTTTTAAAATTAAAATATTAGATAACTTGGGGCTATTTCTTGCCATTAGTTGTATGGAATTGTATCTACATGCCAAATTCTCTTTACTTTTTTAGTTTAGTGAAAAGATTGAATTGGAATTTAAGAATATTGGATATGTGATGCCTTGTTCTTTTGTAATGAAATTATATTGATTCGAAATAAATATTTCATGAAGCGATTTATGTATTGACTTCAGTTACTATTTTAAAAGGGTTTTTTGGGATTCGCTCAGGGTTGGGCACTATCAAAATGTACTGAGATTCGTGTGGGCTTGGTTCTGTGAGGCTTACATATCAAGTGCTTGACTGTGTGTCCTAAACACGTCTAATGCCCAATGCTCGGGGTCTAGGCTCGCCCAATAATTATTGCTCAAATCATGTGTTAAATTTCCTAATTAGAAACATTAACCCTCAAAATTTTTTAACAAATAAATGATTAAAGTTATATATATATATATATNATCAGAACAACTCCAAGGTAAATCTCAAATACCCTTCTCAAATACCCTCTTCTCATTCTCTCCGTTCTCCTCTTCCGCTTCCGGCTTCTTTCTAGTGAGATATTGTACTTTTCGCTATTGCCAATCTGCCTTTCCTCTCAGCTTTTGTTTTCAATTGTAGTTTTCTCTGCTTAGTATTTCTATGTTTTTCCTTGTAATTTTTATTTGTTTGCTTGTTATCGGCTTTTCGTTTTCCTTTTGGGAATTCTCTGTTTTTCTGGTGATGTTTTAATTTTTAGAGCTTCAATCATCTTTTCTGTTTGTTCCGAATAATCTTTAATTAACACCTTCGTTTCATTTTTCGTCTGTTCTTTCAGACATTCTCAACAATTGTATAATTTGTGACGGAGATGACAGCCGATGGCTGCTGAAAAAGGAGAAAAACACAGTCATGTATAAGCCGGGTATACGTTAGTTTCCTATTCTTTTGGTGGCATATATTTTTTATTTTATCTTTTTAGACATTTTAGTTGTTGGATTTCTACATGCATGTCTATAGTTTAGCTGCATTTTGTCATTCATAGTAGGTATTGATCCTTATTGCATTAGCTAGTGAACATTCTTTATTTCCTTATTGCATCAGCTATTGAACATTTTTTACCTGGGTACATTGGCCTCTTAACTTTTGTAGTATGCAGGTCATTCAGTCCTCATAGATAAGTGGTAGTAGTAGCTTTTTCATAGATGAGTAGTATTTAGTAGATCTCTATTGTACTGGTGGTATCTTGACTTCTTTAATACTAACAATATTAGACATATGGGAGAAACGAATATGGATGAATGTGTATGACAAAATTGAGATCTTTATAGTTACTTATATTTTGTATTTTAAAGAATTACATTGACTGAATAAGAAGGGAAAATATATTTCTCTGACAATCAAAAACTTATTCATTATGTCAAAAAAACAGCATCATAATCTACAAAACAGACATGACACTGGCTTCAATTTCTAGGGTACAAGTGCACATGAGCTGTTTCTCCTCGAATTTACTTGAGCAATCTGCCATGGTATCACGATTCCTTTCCTTCCCTCGTTCTATTCTTGATGAAATGTTCTCGTACCTAGTGACATGTCGATTTGCAGTGGCATGTTAAATTGGAAAGATTAATTTTCTAAGCTTTCAGGCATTTACATTGAGGTGATGACCATTGACCTTTAGATTTTGATGAATTTGGTTTGCAATATTTTTAGTAGAGTTTTCAGCATAGTTAGTGAATAAATCTTATTGTGATTAAAAGTGAGCTGGTCAAGTTGTCTAAATCTTATTGTGATTAGTGAATAAATCTTATTGTGATTAAAAGTGAGCTGGTCAAGTTGTCTAAATCTTATTGTGATTAGTGAATAAATCTTATTGTGATTAGTGAATAAATTTCAAAAGCTGTAAAAGATGAATTACAATTTCCCAGAAAGAAACTTTGAAAGATTGCAATTGGCAATTGAACTAAAATTGTACATGAACCATAGTACTCAAAGATTTCTTTCAAGAACCTCTTGGAGCATGAATGGTTAAATTCATACGATGGAGGTGGCTGAAAACATGGATGAGGAAAACGTGAGGGTTATATCCACTATTTCATTGTGTCCATATATACTTGGTCTTTCCTTTATGTTAAAAGTCGAGGCATGCAATATTTTGGGTGGGAATAGCTTTCAGCCTTGTGGAAATTCATGTTTTTCTTTGGAGTTGAGTGTGAGGCTATCTGTTATCCTCAAATTTTCCTGGGAGTGATTATCTTTTTTTTTTTTTTTTTTTTTTTTTTTTTTTTTTTTTTTTTTTTTGGTATTTTCGCATTCGTTAGATATGACCCTTTCTCGATGGTGTGCACTTTGGTGTGTGTAGGATCAAATGTTTTTGGGGAAGTTTCAAAGCTCTTTGCATATGTTGGATTAATTTGCATTTCAAGTCTGATATCTCCTTATAGAAAGGATGCATGTCATATAAAAATTCTATCGAAGCAAATTTTGTGTATTTTCGCTCAAAGAAAAAAAAAAGATTTTTTAGATTATTTAACTATTCCTGGTGTTTCATGAATATGCCACTAGAAAGATTAAAATGAAGAGATCTAAAAGGCCTCTACAAATTGGATGTGCAGGAAAGATCGAAAGTTGTTTTAGCTTCAGTCCAAACTCTTGGGACACTGCTCCCTTCTTTTTCCTTTGGTTTTATTTTATTAAAGTTTTTGTTTCCACATCTGTTTTTGTTTCCATATTTTGTTTTCACGTAGAAAGGAAAGAAATAAAGTCTCACTTGGCCTTAAATGATCAAGTTGAAATAATATAAGTGTATGACAAGAAAATGAGGTTAAAACAATAGGGAAACTGCACGGGCAAAAAGCAAAAATTAAAAGCACAGAAGAGTAATTGAAAGTGTAGTACTTCATTACGCATATATTTAACTTTTCATGAATATTTTGTTTTATAATTCATGACTTGGATATCCTCTGTCTATTAACACTGAGGTAGTAAGTTGTAGTATGGCGACAATTACAAATTTTTTGAAGCAAAACTTTAGTTATAAGTTCTTTTGGATTATATAATTCATTTATTTTTAATTTATAATATAGAGTTATTCTATACCTTGGTGTTTGTACGAAGCATCTCTATCCATTCAAAGATTAAGCAACTTGGGTGTTGTAATGTCAATCTTTTTTTAATATAAAAAGAAGAATTTATTGATATGAAGTGTCATAAACCTTATCTCCCTAAGAATTTATTAATTAAGAGAGTACTGTGATTGCCCATGAAAATTACCTCTGCACAAATACAGTAGAAAATGGCTGCAATGCTTGATACATAGTTGTCATGATTTTCTGAAGTCTTCTGTATAATTCTGTATACAATTGTATGCTCTTTAACTCGTAATCGAACGATATGTTGAAGGATTAATACAACTTGTTAAGTAGAGTTCATTCAAAACTTTTATTTTCTTGATGCAATTTGAAATTTCTAGATATAGGCTCACGTCAGGTCTATGGTGCATTTCTTCTTGGCAGCGGAAGGTAAGCATTAAAGTGAGTTGCTTTATAATGCAGTGCATTCGTTAAATGAAGTTTGTGCATAATTGTACATGTGTGCATTTACTATATGAACTTCTTGGAATAAATGTGCACTTGTAAAAGATCCTTAAGTTAGCAAGTAGTGATAGAGTAGTTTTTGTTTTCATGGTCAAATAGTGAAGCTTCTCTCTCTATCTATTTCTCTATCTCTCACACACACACACATACAGACACTTATATATGTAGAAAAGTGGGGTAAATATTTTTCTATGACTTCTCTTTTTCTTTTTGCTTGGGTGGGACTTTAGAGGTTGGAAGTGGGTGATTTTTCATATAGGAGACAAAGCATTATGCTTATCCTTTGAGAATTTAAATGTTGAATGATACTTTAAAAGAAGAAAGTTACATTTGCTTCTTTTTGCAGATTCTATGTAGAATCGAGATGTCACAGCAGGTGGTAATTTTTTGCGCAAATATTTTCCCATAGGTGATTTATTTATTTTTTATTATAACTTATCATTGCCTTATACCTACGCGTCCCGACTTCTCGCTCACAAGTTGTGTGGAGTACTAATGGTTGTCCATTCATCTTCTTAATCTTTAAAAGTTCAAGCGATTCAAACTTTTAGCTAACTTAATTATGCTCTTCTAAATGTAATTGCTATATCAAATAGTAAGAATAGGATTATGTAATAGACCTCAAAATCATAGTTATGTAGTGATATTTATTATTTTGGTCTCTAAAAACAACTTTCAGTTGAGGAGTTCTATTTCTTGCAAGTCTATGCAGCATGATCGTTATAAAGAATGACTAAATTTGGTACCTAAAATAATATAGGAGGATAAATGTGTAGAGAGGTGAGTTGAGCTTGAACCCCCATGTTGTTACCTTAACCGCAAGGATATATTTGTGGTGCATTCTGGCATTGGTTACAAACCAGTAAAATAATGTAAAAATAAGCCGTGTAGCCTTATGCTTTGTCTCAAATTAACTATATCAATGGCATTTCATTTTTTACCTGCATTTATGCGCTTCAGAAAGTTTTAGAATAGTATGTCATGTTCTTTTAGAACTTGAATACAGGACTATGATTTTCGTTGTTTGTTGAGTGACATAATAATTGGTAGTTTTTTCTAGATCACATGTTAAAATCTACGTTCACTATATAAGCGCATCAGTTACATATATGTTGTATACATCGTCAGTCCTACTCATTGAAATTTTATATATTTGTTGTTACATTTAATCTTGAACTTTGGTTAATCGAGTATCTTTTCCAGTTTTTCATCACAAATCCTGATGTAGCACTAGCAGAGAAAGTGGGCTCTTTTTCTTGGATATGATTACGAAAAAATAAAAGGAAGCAGTACCATCAAGCCATCCTTGAACACTACTTATGTGATGCAACAATACTTATGTGATGCAACAATTTCAATTGCCAATTGTTTCTACTGTTGCATTCTCGTGTTCCGTTTGAGTATATTATAGTTATTGAAATGCTTCTCCGATTCACTATAGGTATTGAAGGTCACTTCATTGCATGCAAAAGCTATGCCATTTGCTATGCAGTAAAGAGACTGCTTCAACATTTATCCGCATAAAAATTGTTTTAAAACATTATCACCCATATTCCATCAAAATGGGAACTCCTACAAATTTTAGTCAATGTATTTCTACTTTTTTATTTATTAAATCCAATATAATGTCACGTGGGACATATATCTTTGTATACGGTCGAAATGAATTTCAGTCTTGGTATGTCCGGTACGGTTCGAAGGGTGGTGTATCGAAGTAAGATCCCGAAGAGGGGCACGAACTAACCTAGAGCCCGAGGAGGCCGGTCCGTGTTGAGATCGATATCATAATCAAACTCGAACAAGAATCGAACCATGGCGCGGGTAGATCTATCGTGCTGATAATCCAAAAACCACCCTACATCGACCTGGAATCCATCCGAGGGCTCGAACCAGGATCGGGCTCGAACCAAGATTACGAGTTCGAGCCGAAATTAAGCTCGAACCAAAATCGAGGATTCTAAGCAAGATCGAGCTCGCAAACAAAAGCCGTTGTAATACAACTAGGGGAATCTTGGCAGAAATTATGGAAAAACTGATTTATCATGGGTCTTCCACTGAATGTTTATTTTATTATACTTGGAGCCAAACCCCTTCACTATAAAAGGGCTTGTTTATCATTCTTGTAGGGCATCTTTTTGGAGATTTAGACTATCTAAAACTGTATTATTTCCTCTAGAAGCAATAGTGATCTTTCTAGTTTCTTAGATTGATTCTATTTTGTTAAATCCTAAATTCACTGTTCATAATTGATTCGTCTGGATTACGTTTTTCTCCAACCTATATTCATCCTTTTATTTATCCTAGCATTTTGTATTAAGTTGTACTACATATCTTCGGAACTGCGTATAAATTCAACTATATCCATTTTTCGGGTAAACAATCTTATAAGTTTTATTAGCCTGTTAGGGAACACTAAGTTCCGATATTTTCTTTTTTCATCTTTGGCTTCCTAAGTAGTTAGCTTTTGGATGCTTCTGCTTTCGAGTTTCTATGATATTTACATATTTCTAATTTTTGTGCTTGGCAATGTAATGTTGAGATATGTATTATATTTAAATGTACATTTACATTACACATAAGACACGAAGTGTTTGGTTTTATAATGTAAGAATTGTATTCGCAGCTAAATCATTATATAGAATTATTTACTCGCAAATTTACATATAAAGAGCCGAGACAAATTAACTATAGAGTAACTTATAGTCCTAAATTAGTAGTTTCAGAAAATGTATTTGTCACATAACTTTTGACATTTTGAACAATATCTCCAAGCATAGTGATATCATTGGATTTCCAAAAGAAAGGCAAAGGTTTATGTCCACAAATTCTAATTTTCTGAAAAAATGAAGCTCTTATAGTTCCTACAAAAAAGGGAATTCTAATTCAATAATTCACTCGTAAAATTAGCAAACAATTAAATTTATAATTTTAAAAAATTCAAAATTTACCAGACTAATTTTATGTATCTACCACTATTTTGGATTGATGCAAGAATATGTTATCTAACCTGACAGTGTTCCCAGTTCAGTTTACTAATTAAGAATTATTTTAAAAGAAAATCAAGGTAGACTAATTAAGAAAAGATGGCATGCAATGAGAATGGTATGGCAAATTTTAAGAATATATCAAAAGATAAAGAAGGCTGTCAAAGGACAAAGAAACATTCAACAACAACAACAACTAAGCTACCGTCAGGAAAGCTTTGTGTGATTTCAAATAAAAGTTAGGAAAGCTGCTCAAATAATTCTAAGTCTAGAATATTATTCTCATAGAATCCCAGAAATCCTACAAGAATACAACACTAAAAAGGATCTCAGGAATATGAGGATATTACATGTACACAACAAATCTAGAGAAGATAAAAAGTGGCAAGACAGATGAGCAGGTCTCAAAACCGTCTCAGGAAATGGAGGCTGTGAAAGAAGATGATTACAAAATGTATTTATGGTACTTTCATCAGCACGCGCAGCTCTTTTATGTACTTCTGCCGGAACCAAACACCCCCTTTAGACTAAACACGAAAGCTAGTGTCATCATCAACACACTGCTGAAAAGTTGTATGCTTATTATAGTGACCGTAAGCGTAACTTGGACTTTACCTGTCATTGTAGATTTTCAGATTTTCACAAGGTACTGTAGAGTCCAAAATTCAAACCATATTGGTGCTTGTACGAGCGATTCTCTGGGCTTCTTCAAGGTCCTTCAAGAATCTACATTTCCACCACACATTATACAGAAATCAGCTAACTGAATAAATAAGACTAAAGAAACCTTTGTGCAGAACTTAATGTAGCTGGGAGAAGAACAGGAATAACCAAAAAAAAAAAACATGTCCTGAAGTTGATAGAAACAAGAAGCTTCAGGACCCAAATGTGTTAGAGTTGAGCCAAACGAATAATATATAGTTTTTCTCGTACAAAAAGAGGCTGTACAAGAAGCACATTGTCTTTTATTTGCCGGGGACAGTATACCTCTTAGAATTTAGAAGGGCAGAACCACCGAGTATAAAACGAATCCCGGAATTTGTAGAATTCTGCAGAGCAACTGAACGTGATTCTTCATATGTTGTCCCACCAACAATGAAAATCACCACCTCCTGTGGCCTGTATATGACAAACAATAAAGGTTGTTTTAGCTGCATGAATTGTTTAAGCACCATAATATTTTTGTCAAGGTTCCAACTCATCTTCAACCCTAAAATGTGGCTAGCAAGTGTAGTTGAACTGATTTCGAAACCAAAGTTTTGAAAAACTACGAAGAGAAAAACACCCCAAAAAATAAATATTAAAGGACGAAGCAGGAGCTGGAGTTGGTTTTGGTAAACATTTTAAAGGTTGAAACCGTCCCAAAGTTGAATGACCTGCGCTGGCAGAGTTGATCCTGTGGGACACATCCCAGAAACTCTCTTGCCTAGGGGAGGAGGAACACAGCATGCATCTGCATCAAATAGAATCTTGAAGGGAGGGGTGCAGATGTCAGATTAAATGAAGAAGAATGTTAAGCAAGGAAAGAAGTGGCAGAAAGCCCAGGAAAAAGGGATAAGGAAATTGAAAAAGAGAGTTTCATGTCATCCGTGACAGGGAAAATAGAGGAAGAGGCAACGGCATAAAGAACACCAAGGATAAATCAAGGTAAAATTAATTAGCTGGCATTTCAGGGGGTTGAATAGGAGTAAACAAAGAATTCTGAGAATGCTGGTCCACAAAGGGGAAACAAATGTTTTCTGTTTACAGGAAATCAAAATCGAGCAATGAACAGGGATTGGTACGACAAATAAGTGCAAATAAATGCGTGAACTATGTTTTATTTCATCTTGCAGTTATTCCTACTTGTTGCAATTATCTTTTCTTTTTCAGTCGTTCTCTAGCCGAGGGTCTATCAGAAACAGCCTCTCTGCCCTTCCAGGGGTAGGGGTAAGGCTGCGTACATCTTACCCTCCCCAGACCCCACTTGTGGGAAGCTACTGGGTTTGTTGTTGGTGGTGGTGGTACAGAAGGCTATGATCATGCAAAGACGCAGTGTATGGAGTACACTCCATAACAGTGCAGTTGTATCACATTCTCGCTGAGTATATGGGCCCGTTAGAAGTGAAGGAAGGTTTGAGCTGTCGCGTGAATTCACTACCTTCAAAAGTTGTTATGAAGGACCATTGGTGAGATTTCAATTTAATCAGCCATGAGGTGGAGAGACGCCTTGAATTCAAACTTAATGTAGCCATGCGGCAATTCTCAGAATATGTAGAAGACATGGAGTTAATTGACTCTCTGTGTGATGGAAAATTTATGCGGACAAGAGGGGCAAGATTCGGGGTGAAGTCAACAATAGACAAGTTCCTCCTCCATTTAATGGGACGACAAGTCTAGCTTCTAAAACTATGGGCCTTACCCTAGGGTCTTCTGAAATCATAATGCACTTGTATACAATGTGAACAGTGGGAAAAAAGAGCTCATACTTCAAGTTCCAAAATAGGTGGCTGAAAGATAAGGACTTTTGGAGTTGGTGCAGAAGTAGTACAGATCATATAAAGTAGATGGCCAACTAGATTATTTGTTAGCCAAAACACCAACAGTAGTTAAAAGGAACCCAAAGGAATGGAATATATATTGCTTTGGCTCATTGGAAAAAGGAAGACCGAAATCCTAGATAACTTGATTAAATTGGATGAATGGGCAGAAGAGAGAGAACTGCCTGAATTTGAAGTTATCCCATGAGTCTAGTTTAAAGTCTGAATTAGTGGTCAAAAGGAAAGTGGTACTGATTGTTGGTTTACCAAAATAACATTCTTCAAAGCATTAGCATAACCACCAATGAAAATCTATTGATTCCTATTTAAAACGTATAAAATCAAGATAGTAGCACCTCAGTTGCTGCATCAAGCTGTCGATTGCTACAATAGCTAGGTTACAAATTTCAATCACAACATAGACTGTGACTTTAGTATCGGAACTAAACACTTACTACGAGAAAGAGTTTGAGCATGCCAGAATTATTTATAGAAAGTAGTTGCACTTCTTATGTCAAACTGTCAAGGTCTTGCAAATAAAACAAGTCTTTGGCTAGAGTACTCTTACTCTTTCTCTTGGGGCACTAAAACTAGAGAAAAGGCTGAAACAAAATTTGAAATATCATTGCAGCTCAGTGACTGACCTGGCTTGTTGAAAGTGATTTCCTACATAAGGATAGTCCACATCTCTCAACCTCCCCCTGGTGATATTCTCCATGGTTTGGAATAGAAGAGGTTGATGCTGGGTATACACATTCTCAACCCCCTGTGACAAAAATCAACTGTAAGCCATTAAAATCTCATCTACAAGGTGTTGGATAAAGATAGTAATAATCATTTCGGGAGGGGGGCATAATAACTCTGGGAAAGGAAAGTATCAGAAAAGCATTTTGTGTTCAACTTCTTAAAATTTTCTAGTTAAGAAGTAGCTGAACTTTTTAGTATTTATTTAGAGCAATATGAAGTTTTAGATTCTAATTTGGTTACATAGTTTTAATTAATCAAGAGTGACTAGGCTGATACTATCGCTATAATCAGAGGAAACCAATTGCGCAAGTCAATTGAAGAGGTGGACAAAGATCGTTTATGAGGAATATGGACGTGACCAACATATACATGGTTTTCCAAAGTTGATTGGCATTTTGGTGGGCAATGGTAATCGAATCTGTAACTATGTTTCTGCCTTGATGTATGGTATGGCAATACCACATTTAAGATGATTTCCAAAACTTAATTCTCTGTTCAAGAGAAAGGGAAATCACCAATGGCAGAGTTACTAAAAAGAGAAAGTCACAGGCTAGTTGGGATGTAATATGTATCTCTTCTCTTAAAAGACTACAGGATTGGGAAGTTAAAGAGGAGGTGGTGTTCTTCCAGAGGCTGCATAGCAGGAAGGAGGATATTTTAACTTGGGAAAAATCATCTGTGAGATGCTTCAGCTCAAACCATTGTGAGAGTTCTAGCATTCCAAGCACGGTGGATTCTTTTAGTGCAATGTGTGATGCTGTTTCATCAGCAAACAATTTAAGAAATAGAAGATGTATTATCGTTAGTAGTTGTTGTTTCAGCAAACAACATGGCGAGGACACTGATCACCTGCTGTACATTGTCGTTTTGCCTTGGAGTTATACTGTTTTCAAAATATAAAGAGTTGTCCCAAAACCAGTGGCAGAAATGTTAATAAGTTGGCGGACAAAGAAGTATTAGAAACAAACAGAAGCATATTACGGAGAACAGCAGCCTTTTGTCTATATTACATCTTTGTATAACCAGGAAATTCCTAATTGTATAGAAGGTTCTGCATATTGCTTGAATGCTTAATGTGTGCTTGTAATACAAATGGATGTACATACAAAACCTACTTGGTGTGAAATTAAAAAAATGAACTTACAAGATTGAAAAATAGGTCTATCACTGACCTTTTAAGTTCTCTGCAAGCATCATACAAGTATTAAACAAAAAAATACATCCATTGCTTAAGGAATAAAAAAATTGTCTCTCAAGTGACGTTTTCATTTTCCAAATACGAATGCTTGAGATGTTTCTACGATTCTAGATTATATAAAGTTCTGGATTCCGTTAATAGTACAGAGAAAAAGTAAAGAATTATACTTCCTAGACGCACCTTAAGACCACGAGCCATGTTACGTGCAATGTTCAGGAGATCTCTGTTCCCATACAGGTCCCCAGTTCTCTTATCAACTCCTGCTTGCTTTAGAAGGAATTGCACTAGCTTCAAACCATAACCAAAGTCCAAAATAAAAATGATTTCATTTGTCAAATGAAATTGTCAATGTAATATCAAGCGCACATGAACAATCAATCCAACAATAGAAGAAAACACAATTTGATGCCAATACCTACATATAAACTATAATCAACAAGCATGAACTGAACAAGACTACTGACTTTTTACCTACTTATATCAAACATAATAACCATGTTTGTAAAGAATGCTGTTGTTTTTCCTCTTTTAAACATAATAACCTACTTTTCTCTTTTAAAGAATGTTGTATAATCTTCACATAATAAATACAAAAGTAAAATTTTTGAAGACCATCAGGAGCAATAATTTTGAGCATCCACAGACAGATCAGATCAATCAACAAAGAGAATAAAGCACATTAACTGCTAGCTAAAAGAAAAATTGGCCTTTACAGAAGGCACCGAGTGAGGTCCTAATGATCTTGTTTTCACTCTTTCACAGGGAGAGAAACAATGGGCAAAGGCAGTACAATTTGTAAGATACAGGTAATAAAAGCAAACAGAGCAAGATAGCAAGACTAACACAAAAAAGAAGCTGAAAAAGGCAACAATCATAGTAATCCTCCTTACTCCAGGCTTATACTTGGGCGACCGAGATGCCAATTTGTTGAATAGCTGCATGAGTTGAACAGGACTCTCCTTCTCATAGCGCAAGGCATACAGCATTACGAGGCGCAGGCGGTCAATATCAGAGATATTATCATTATTCAATAGATTTGTCACAGCCTGTAGACGTAGCAGAATTTAGAAAAGAAATTATACCCAAAATGATCGTCGTCACTGATTTTCAAATCTTATAGTCACTAGTGCTAAGTACAAGACAAGTCAAAACAGTATATAGATATAATTAACATTTGTGGCTCAATATCAGACATGTCAATACAATTTAAATTATGAGCATCTGACATGAGAATCAGCTCAGTTTCAGAGCCGTCATCCCACTGTATTGTTTGCTTCCCAGATATCTGAATGGAATTAGCATGTTTCAATGATTTGGAACCTGCTTCTACAAAGTCTCTCCAACCAGGGAACCAATAGCATATATTTAGTAATGTCAACAGACTACTTTGCACTAAATCTCCGTCAAGATTTAAGCCACGAACTCACTGGAAAAAGAGTAAAGTTATCAATGCAGCAAACTTATCAGAAAACATTACCACCAAACATACCAGTGATGTACATGACTTATTTTAGTAAAGAAAGGTAGAAAATATTTATTAAACAATCTAGTATGCGATTGAACCAAATTTGTTACCTCTTCTTTTCTTTCAGGAAGTACAGAAACTTGTATCATTTCCAGAATCAACAATATACAAGGTTGTGCGACAATTTTGTTCATGGCCAAAGAACTCATTGACATATTAGTAATTTCAAAAGTAGATTTCAAATACATCCCACATGTGTTGTATCTTGGATAGACACTTTATATATGGAAATCACAAAATAGATGCAAATACAACTCTATATTTATGACACTATCAATGTGTAACACCTAACAGCATGGATAGGGACGCAAGAGTCGAATCCGAGACACAAAATTGTTGAAATTGGATTTCAAGTCACCAAGGGGGGAAAGTTTAAAAAAACAGAGTTGTCCCATGAAGCAAAGGGGATTGGGGGAGGGATTAACCCCAAAAATTTTAAACTCATAAAGATGACACAACACATATTAGACAGTATGCTATAATTTATGTAATATTAATTATCACTTTTTATAAGTAATACACATAGCCTAACAACAAAAACACGGTAAATAAACCCAAGAGGAACTTTTAAAAAGCTCTTAGATCATTAAAAGTTTTCAAATAGGTGAACAAAAAATAATAAGAGACATAGAAACATATAATTTTCATGCACATTGCTAGCTGAGACATGACCAACACACATACGTGGCCTTAAATTTCATGTCCATGCTTCATAGTTTAGCGTATCCATTCACCAAGAGGGTGGGACGTGACAGGGATACTCCATTTTTTCTCCGCTTTTTTTTTTTTTTTTTTTTTTTTTTTTTGTATAAGTAAAAATTGGGACCCAAGAGGATCAGGAGGATTGATGACAGTAATATACCCTTTACCACAACAAACACACCAACTCAGAAGTGTACATGCCTCGGTTCAGAGCACATATGCTCACGACTGAATCAAACCGCTGGTTATCTTTCTAGGCGGCAAGTTTACTTGATACACCCTAAGCTCTTGTTATCCAGGACTTGTCTATACACGATTGCGCGTATCATGTGTAATAATGGTTTCAAAAGTGATAACATGCAACAATAAGTATCTCTTTCCCTCCTCCCTCCTCCCCTCTCACGAACAACTCATTTAGATTTAGTTTACAATAGCAGTATCTGTTCATTAAAACAATAATTTCAAACGAAGTTCCAAAGGAGAACTCAAAGAAAATCGTTGTTGCTTGAACACGGAGTGACCTTGGTTTTAGTTACATCTTCAACGCAATCAAACGAATTTCAGAATGTAAACTAGTTTATCAAAAAAAAGGAATTTAGCATGTAAAACTTAGTCCAAATAACCACCAAAAGTAGAAAACAGAGAAGAAGACTAGACGAAAAATTTCCTTATATTCTACTTAGTTTTCCACATTTACTTTCCATAACTGATAAGAAAGTTATGCTTCAATACTGAAGGACTAGGCTACCTCGAATGCTGCCCCTTGTCCACCATTGCAAGCCAATTCTTGTTCTGTCTGTGAAACCAACATGAGTTTTCGCTCTTCAACTATCTTGCTCATTTCCGTAACCAGTGTCACATGCTTAGAAACATTGCCTTGCATTTTTCTGTATTCCGGGTAGTTGTCGACAAATTTAGCCATGTCCTCTGCAAAAATGCAAGCCTTATGAACAGAAGCTTCTTTTTAGAAGAAAAATACCATGTCGGAGTTGCAACAGAAACACTTGCTGTACAACCCAAAGTTAAGCTACAAGCTCGCAAATACAAACCTATCGTCTGGATATTTTGGTTACTCTTTGCCACTTGTTGGAAGTCATCCACCATTTTCTTAATATTCATTCCAATATCTCCGAAGTTGTCATACATATTAGCTTTGAAAAATGCATCTTGCTCAGATGACAGTACAACCTCCTGAAACCATAAAGAATCAACAGGTAATGAATTATTTTGGAAAAGATAACAAGGCAGTATTTAGATACAAGAGGAAATAACTTTTAACCTGTTGATCTTTTGGCAATTTGCCAACGTTTTTCAGGTTGACCTTGTTATCTTGAATACCTATCAACTCATGAACCATTGCCTGTAAAAGCACATAGCACAAATGAGCAGCATTACTTTAAAAGTGACACACTAACGTTACTTGAAGAAGAGGGGGACACACAATTTTATGGAAATGACAGAAGTACAGAAGAGGCACAAACTGTTAGAAATAACAAGGGCAGAGAACTTACAGACTAGCCATACCTGATAGGTCCACTGATTAAGCAGTGGAGTCACGGGGTCATCTCTCCTATCAATTATTAGCAACAATGGAGAAACTTCTGTTCTCCTGAAATCAAAAAGACCACTCTCTTGCTGGTACATCAGCTTCTGCAATATCGACAGAAGAAAATTGTGTTCAATTTTTTACTTTTCCAATCTGAAATATCCGAAATCAACTACACATTCAACCTCAAGCAAGAGAGGTAATAATCCTAATAATAGAACTTGATAGGCTACAAAGAACAACATGAGGAAAAAGAAAGAAACAGTTGGTGTGCTTACAGAAGCTTCATGTGCTATTCTTTTCGCAATATCGGATGTCCGTGAATATCGAATAATAGGCCTTCGCTTTAACGCCAGGAAAACTGCAGAAATTCCATCAACAACTCGTTCACAAAATTGCTGCAATGCTGATGGATCTACAACTGCCGGGAGCATATACATGTGGTTTGAGGCCATATTTAACGTGAAATGGTAAGGGTCCAACGCAACAAAATCTGCATAAAATTCCTGCAAATTACGTCAATAATCATGTAACATAGCAAATGTCTAGTTTCAATAAACAATTTAAACAAGTTACAGGCCACAACAAATTTTTAGAGCTCCAATAGAAAGATGTTATCAGCAACAATTTCTTAATGTTTTTCCACATTATGCAATATCCTTTTTCAAATGCACATGATTCTAACAGTAGAATTTCTTAAAACAGTAGAAAATGCTAATTCTAAACATACCTGCAACTGCTGGACAACTTCATGTTCATCTGAATCGGCTAACATATGAAGTTGAGTATCTTTCAAAATATTGGAGAAAACTGTGCAGCAAGAAGGATATATTAAATGTTTTATCCTTGAGAAACTTTGGACAACAGCATTTTACACTGATATGTTCTTCTGAAATATATTAATATACAGCCTGAATTTATTAGCAGATTTCCCCGTGCCGTCCAATTATAGAGGATACACTTACAAAGGTGATACTCTCCAAATCTTGGCTTAGCCAGTTGACGCCGCATGTGCTGAATATTCTCTGATATTGGTCTTAGAAAATAAACTGCTTTAAGATGTGACATGGATTCCTTGGACATTGAAATAGAATCTACCAGTTCCACCAGGAACACCTCCTTCTTCAGGAGCTCTGATTGAGAGTACACAACACTAACAAAACTAACCTGCTCATTAAGAACAAAAAGTAAACACCACAATTTATGACAGAATAGCAACAACAACACCAACAACAAACCCAGTGCAATCCCACACAGAATAGCATTAACACAAAAAGAAATTTTGCAGATATAATCATTTAAAACTTACGCCTAACATCTCAAGAATCCAACAAGATTAATTATTATTCTGGGCCACCTTTTACTTGATAGTAAGACAGAATTACATCATTTGTGATCATAATTTACCAACTTAACTACAAAAAGAAAAGGCACAAATAGGTAGAAGCGGAAAGTGCATAGATGCCGTAGACGACTATATTCCAAAATATCACCCCACACAAACTGATGTATCCAACTGCTAAAATCTAACTAGAAGCAGAAACAACTTAAGTCATTACTTGATACAAAAAAAGAGAAATGGAAACAACTTAAAATCCAAAGCAGACCGTCTTCCAGAACCCTGATTCCACACCTAATACACCCTTATCTAGAGAACTAACTTCCACCCTGCTGCACATGCAAAGCATATTCTATTCTTCTTCTTCCTATGGACCAAGGGCAATTAAAAGTTGGTTGCATAATATCTCCTGGAACAGGCAGCTTTCCCCAGAAAAGAAGTCATCAGTACTAGGTATAGGTGTCAAAGGGCCGGGCCGGGCCGGTCAGGGCTTGAGGAAAAGGGAACCGGCCGGTTTCGTTACCGGACCGGTTCCGGTTATTTTTTTACCGGGTTTACCGGTTCCGAGCTTCCCCAGTGCAAAATTTAACCGGAAAGGTTCCGGGTCTAATGGACCGGGCCGGGCTTATTTAATTTATTTTTTTTGTATTTTGTATAACAATCGTCAACTTTATAAAATAAAATAAAATTAAAAAAATAGCCATTGAACCGGCCCGGGCCGGTCCGGTTAACTGGTTCCCATGTGACTTGACCATAACGGGTTGTACCAGTCCGGTTAACCCGTACTAAAAACTACCCGGCACAGTCCGGTCCCCATCCCAACCCAGCCCGGCCCGGTCTTACTACCGGGCCGGGCCGTTTGACAGCTCTAGTGCTAGGCATAAGAGGGAATACATATAAGACAAAGCTAACAGAACTGAGAAGAAAAGAATTGATCGAGTTTTCATCTATTAGGCAACTGTCAGTTCCCTGCTGCCTCTTAATTTAACTGTTCTGAAGAGAGCACTCACTGCTACTGTATCATAAAACTTTGAAACTGTACTAGTTCTCCAGTAAGATTTCAGTTATGGAATTCCGTCCCATGTCACTCAAAACAATGTTCATAAAAAACACACTCAAAACACATGAATCGGGCAAGACTTCGACAACTAGACAAATGGGCCATCTGATCCACATTCATTTTTCTTTTTGATAAGTAATCATATTTTAGATACAAAGTTAGCCCCAAATGGTTGCTGGATCTATACTAAAGTACAGACGTCTACTCACACCCCAACTTATGTAGAGAAATAACAAAATCCATTAAGATATGTATATCAATGAGAGCTTCGAGTTACACCAAAAACCAAAAACTATAAGCATTTGAACTTGAAGCTCTCCTTGGTCTAACTTCTTCCATCAAAACATCTATAATTCCTCTCCTTCCATCCTTTCAAAAATGCAAGCTGTGACTGAATTAAATAAGTTCCTGATATGCCTTTCTAGCTATATAGAGTATCTTTTGATGCCTTAGGCATGCATCATTCTGAACTTCCAAATCATGCTCAAATCTACTCCAGTAAGAAACAAGATCAAGAGAACATGATCCTCTATCTTCAGATTTCATAAACAGCAGCTTAGATCTCTTTGAAAGTAAAACGGCTTCTCCAATATGAAATTCAAAAACAGAAGCTTACTCTGGCACAAACTAACACGATAAGGTGTGCAAACATTGTCGAAAGTCTAATTACCCTGTCCAACTGCATCAGCCCACCTACAAGAAAGGGTTTCTCGTCTTTGCTTTACTACAATCACTTCAATGATATCTCCAGACCCCACCACTACAACAACCGATGATAACACTATTCATTTTATCATCTCCTTTTCGGACGTACTAAGCAAAAAAACTAAAGAGTTATGAATTACTAATATTACGTTTGCATCTCCAAATCTACCCATACCCTCAAAGATAAAATTCGCAACGTGGCCTGAGCAATGAGCATTTCCTTTTTTCTTTTGTGTTTCATTGACCACATTTTTTTTTTTTGATAACCGTGGTGTCCGGGCCAGCTTGCGCGCACCTCGACTAATTCCACAGGATACTTCCCACCAGCAACAGGTACCAGGTAACTCTATCCACCAAGTCTTGGATAGATGAGAAGAAATCACCTAGTATTTGCCTCCGCTGGGATTTGAACCTGAGACCTCATGGTTCTCACCCACTTCATTGACCACTAGACCACACCCTTGGGTGCTCATTGACCACATTGATAACAATCTTGTTAGCTCATAGAGCTTGGCTTCCCTGTCCAACCTTTCCAGTTAAAGTCTGTTGAGATGATTGAAGGTGTTAAAAGGATATCCCATAGACCTAAAATCATATTGAGGATAATTGTCTCAAAAGACCTACAATCTCTTGAAATCAGCTGGACTTACTAAGAAAAAGGAGTCCTTTCATTTTGGCTAGACTTGTATAACTTTGTAGGATAAGTATGATATTCAGCGAATCTCTAGTTAAAGAACTCCTAATTTGGCTTAAAAGACAAAATATTTAGTATTAAATGAAATGAACCTGAATAAATACAGATTTGATCCAAAGAATTCATATAGCTAGCCCAACTAAGTTGGTACTTAGAACTAGTCGATTGGCTGATAGACATGGGCAGTTGTATAATCTAAGAAGTAGGTTCAGCCGAACCCAATAGCTTTAGCTCTGACCATTTATATGTGTTAAGAAACCTACTAAATATGTACAAGTGTTAAATTTTGAACCCAGTATTCAAATGATCAGTAGGTTTAGTGGGATCCTAAACCCATAAAGTTAAAATCTTGTATCTGCCTCTGTTGATAGACTGATTGAAGCTCCCAGTAATTCTTTTTTTCATTCTTTGAGCTCAAGATTATTTCATTAAGCTACCCATTTAATATCAATCTGTAACTACACATTAATTCAAACCAAGAAAGGCGTCAGATCACTAGACTTATTACTCAAAAAGGCAACTTTTTAAAGTAGTTATCTCAGTCAACTTATTTTCTCAGTCCAGAAATTTCAAATTGGATTCTTACCCATTTATCGGATCAGATAACAACCTTCATACCCATCTCAATTAAATAAAACGAAATAAACACCAAAAAGATTAAATTAAAGACACACACATAACACACAACACACAAACAAAGAAAAAAACAAAATTTTATCTTTAAAATGGAAAGAAAATAACAAACCGTGTGAGAATCAAGAATGAGGACTTTCATCCCAGAAATGTCTTGCAACATGCGATTGATATACTCCCTCACCGCTGCTACTAATACCATCTTTTCTTAGAAATCCAAAATTCTGCTGATGATTTGATCTTGTTTTTGCGACGAAAATCAGGAAGAGAAAAAAAAGATCTCAACTAATCTTTGGAGGGAGTTGAAGAACGCCTTGGAGTTTGGGGAAAAAAAGAAGAAAGAACGTTGGGGACAAAATGGCAAACATGATCCCTTATGTTTGGGGTAGGTTTAAAGTGACCCCTTCAGTATATTTTTGAGCTGTTTTGATTCTGTAAATTTGCCAAAAGTAATTATTTTTTAACTACAAATTTTAAGCAAACTTCAATTATTAGATTTAACAAGAGCCATGAAAAAAAAATTAACCAAGATCCGCCAAATGCCAAAAGGTGCAACAGTAAAAACTATACAAAACACTAGAAATAAATTAAAATGACAACAATTGTACTATAACAACAATAACAACAACTCACTAAAATTCCAAAAGTGAAGTTTAAAAAGTTATACTAAACTCTAGAAATATAAAAAAAAAACATAAATAGCAAAAGCTGCACCTAATGTTAGTTCGTGTTAAATCTTATTTTCTTTCACAATTCCCGCTAAATCTAACGGCGATAGTTTGATAAATATGATTAAATGTGCACACATTAACAAACTTAAAGGACATAAATTGCTCACAATTATATTTAAAGTATCACTTTAAACCCACCCAAACATAAAGAACCATTTTGTCATTTTCTCAACGTTGGGGAGTTAGAATTAAAACTTTATGTTCGTGACTGACTAGTAAAGTATTATGAAATCTTGAGAAGTCCAACTAATTAAGAGTTTGAATAGTATTATGGAGTACAACAACACATTTTTGTGTGAATTTGGATGTTGATTTTTAACTTTGTTATAAAGGATAATATATATATTTAGAAAGTTTACAAATTATATAAATCATGATCAATTAAAAATATTTGAAAAGGTCATATTCAAAGATAGTATTGAAAGAGGGAGTAAGAGATCGTTTGACTTTGCTTTATAGACTTGTTAGGTAGAAATTATGATATAGAGTGTTATCTGAAGAATAATGATAGAGGAATGGTATAGATATTTTAATACTAAAGACAAGAACTAGTTTAATTTTTATATAATTATTTCATATAAAATAATACATAGATTCTTGTGTAAGTTTTGTATGTTAATTATGTGGAATTTAATATAAGAAATTAAACAATGTACTAGTAATACATGGATTATTGCGTGTATTGTGTTTATTAATTATGTAGAGTTTTATACAAGAAACGGTTATACTAGTATTGCAGGTTTTCATACTAAAGATCAAACATCTTATTATAATGAAGTTAATGCTTAAATTATTTTTTTTCTATACTGCCCATATATGCCATGTGTACACCCACATAATTCAAGGTTGAGATTCATTTGGTTATTAAACAACTAAAAATGGTAAGACAATATTTAACAAAAAATAATAAGAAAATTCAACACTAACGGCAACAGTTTATATGGCCTGCCATGCCATTTTTCTCACTCTTAAAGCTACACATGGGCCCACCATGTGTATTTTTCCATATGTTTGACTAATAAATAGTGTCTAGGATAATTATAAGAACTATATTCGAGTAACTGCTGACGGTAATATTAATTATATTTTCTTAATGTAATTGCTTTTATCAAATATTTTTTATTTACTTAATTTCTATTATTTGCATATGAACCTTTTTGTTTTAAGACTTTTGCACATGCACGAATTTCTTATTCTCTTCTTCATCATGTAGATATTAAATGAAGTTTGCTTTTTTTTTAATGCACACATTTATTAACATATAAAATATTATGTAATAATTATGAAATTTAAACAACTCAAATGAATCTCATTAATCAAAAGCTTTTGTGTCACCATGAAACAAATGATACTTGTCTTTCAATGTGTTGTCAAATTTCTTTTCGAAAAGATGAAAAGACCTATTTAAAAAATAAGAAATTATAATAATAAAAATAAAGGGCTTGTTATACAAAAAGCCGATCATATTCAATTTTTATTTTTCTAGTCGGTATATATAAATTATACATTGATTATTTATTTATATATATATATATA